CATACTGGTTTTTTGTTCTTGAAATTTCTCAGGTAGCCTTTGTCATGAAAATATCTTATTTCCCCATCAATTTTGAAAGATAATTTTGCAGGATACATCAGTCTTGATTGGAGGTTGTTTTCTTTTAGGACTTGAACTATCTCACTCCAGGATCTCCTTGACTTGAGGGTTTGTTTTAAAAGGTCTGCTGTGATTCTGATGGACTCCCTTTGCATGTTATTTGTTTCTCTTCTCTAACTGCTTGCAGTATTTTGTTCTTCTGTTGGGTTTCTGGATCTTGATTATTATATGTTTAGATGTAGCTTTTTTTTGTCATGGCTTGTTGGAGTCCTATATGCCTCATTTATCTATGTCAAATTCCTCCCTCTGTTTGGGAAGTTTTCTGTCATTAATTCTTTGAACAGTTTTTTATGTCATTTTTACTTTCTCCTGCTATTTCATGAATTCCTATCAGTCTTACATTATTCTTCTTTGCATCATCTAAGAGTTGTTGGATCAATTTCTCATGATCCCTTACTGTTTTTTATATATGCAAAGAAATATAATTCAATGTTAAAATGAATGAAATACAGTAATTTACAGCAAAATAGATGTAGTTGGAAAACATTCCCAGAAATGAAACAAGGCAGATACTGAAAACTTTCACAGGATCTCATTAAACCTGAAAGAATTTCAATTACATGGGGCTGGAGATTTAGCTCAGCAGTTCCACCACCTGCCTCACAAGCACAAGGTCCCAAGTTTGATCCCTGGTACAAAAACTTTTTTTCAATTACATAGAAGTAAATGGTTGAATGATGATTACCAGAGATTGAGGTTGTTAGTAGGATATTGGTGGAAATGTTGGTGAAAGGATAAAAAATTCCATGTACATAGGAGAAATAAGTTAAGAAGATCTACTGCACAATGTGGCAATGACAGCTTATATCTTTAAAAATTATGAGTGGATATTAAATATATTTCCCATAAAATGATAAAATTTTGAAGTGATCCACCTGTTAATATATATAGTCCTTTCACAATGTATATATACACTTCCAAACATTAAGTTGGATAACATAACTAAATAAAAATTTATCTTTCAAACTTAAAAAGGTAGCCCACCAATCAGGACCAGAAGCTTCAATACCACCTGGCATTTGGTTACAAATTGAGAATCCCTGAGCCACACACACTCATCAAATATTAATGTGAATTTGAAGAAGATTACCAAGTAGTTGACATTCATATTTAAGCTGAAGTTCTTTCTAAGAATAGTGTTTGTCAACTTCCAAATGCTGACACTTTGGCAACCTAATATCTTGTCATGAGCTGTGTTATGTATTGCAGAGGGCTGTGTATTGCAACAGGTTGAGCAATTTCCCTGCTTCAAATAGCTAGGGATAGGACAAGCTCTCCAGTTGTTACAGCATAATTTCTATAGAGGCTAAAAAATGTCACCTAAAGGTGTATTAACTTTTGCTGAAGACACATTGTCCTGGAGCAAAACCATGGGGGAAATCTTCAGTAAAGCTCATCCTTAGTTATTAGTGTAAATTTAAAGTGAATTCCTGATACTGTTGACTTAATATTGCTGACATGTGTAAAAATTAAGTGGAACAATTTGTGCGCTATTTTAACTTAGCTCTATAGAACCTAAATGATATCTAAAAATTATGAAATATTTCATGACAAAGAGTAAGTGACAATTTTTAACTAGTATTCCAAGCATAAACCATCTAAATGCTCTGTAAAAAGTACCATGGAGCTAAGCATTGTGATAAATTCTCATGTTCATAACAAATGAACACAGTTGTATCCCTTAATCAACAAAATACAAGAGCAATTTTAAAGATCTCAGGAACAGTGTACACTCCACACGTCAGTGCTCTGGATTTCCTAGGAATCTAGCCAAGCCAAATACCTAAAACTTCTGTGAAAATTATAATTTAGGATTGGCCAGAAATGCTAATGTGGTTGGATTTCTACAGATAGGAGATTTCATGGAGAAGGATTAAGAAAGCATAGATTCACCTGATTTTTAATCTGTTCACTTGGGAATATAAAACAAGCAAGACCTACATTTTTCCTTTCTGCTCAGACCAAAGCCCCACAGGGAAGCCAGGTGCTCAGAGGTGAGAATAACAAATGGAAATGGACCCAATGAGTAGAAATAGGGATTATAAGGAGATCTCCTGGGTTGTCCCTCAAAGGGTATAATTTTAGACTGGACAAAACATAGTGGTTCCTTTTGGAGTCTTGTGGCTGGCTAGGAGACTGATGCTGCACTCCTTCCTATTGCCTTGCCTGGGTCAGAGCTTCTGCCTTCATCATCAATCATCCAGGGAGAAACCAGACTTCCACACGGTTAGCCTCTCCTTAGAGAAGCCATGCTGGTGAGCTTGAGACCTTGATAAATGCTGCAGGAACAAGAAGAGAACCTGAGGAAATCAACCTGAAGTCTTCTGAGAACCCAGGCAGCCTAGTCCAGAGTCAAATTGCTTTGCTTGTTTGTTTCCTCAACTGACTATTATGTATCTTATTTAAGATGCTGAAGAGAAAAAATATCTTTAGGCTATACTGTGCATAGATCATTACTGATGATAAGAAGAAGGTAATGGAATACAATTGGATTTTGCCAGTCTCACTCCCAGGTTAACCTGATACAGCTTATATTCCATGTGGGAGAATTCTTGCCATTTTGTGGCTTGCTGAATTCAGCTTCCTTTCCCAGAAGATATCCCCTCCTTTCACTCCAGCTGGAATCCTTCTTGCTTTGGCATTCCTCACCCAGAGGCCTTAAAATCCTCTCCCACACCCTAGCTCTTTCCTCTTAAGTAGCATGAGCAGACACCCCCAAAGCCTAGGCTTTCAGGCCTTTCCCCACTCCCAAGTCACAGTGCCTTACAACCAAGTTTTTTATCCCCAGGGAGGCATTAGTGTGCTGGGGGATAGAAAACTGCAAGTTCAAAAGCATGTATCTTGCTGAAAAATCAGTTTTCTTAACAAATGGTTTGAAGTTAGGGGCTAGACTGTTTATATAAAGCAAAACTAGTTATATTACAGAATATAATATTTATACACATCAACAATTGAGCTAAAAAGGAGACTTGGAAGGTACTTTTTACAAATGGGCTATGCATTTCCTCCCTTCTGTATTTAATGGTATTTCCATGTTCATTTCTGAGGAATACACTCAGAACCATATCCAAGGAGGCCTGATGCTAACCACGGGCCTAGATGTCTAGGTCTTCTGAGGCAGAACCAAGGAGCCCACTTTGAAGGAAATCCTTCTTTTCCTGCCTCCCTGCTTGCTTGCCTAGCTATACCTGTGTACTTAACACAAAGCTTTAGGACCAGCTGATAATATGTGTGTGCAGAGTAGTTTTGAGGCAGAAACAACACTAGCTTACTGTAGGAATCATTTTTATATCACTGTTCAAGTCTGCATGCTATAAAACGACTCATCTCTTTGAGCCCAGGAAGCTATGTGCATATACGCTTCCAGTTAGGACTACCCTTGTTCACTTCCTATACAGGGACATCAAGATTGAGAGGAGTTTGAGCTGTTAAAGAGTTTTTTTTCTCTCAAACTGGTGTCCAACAAATGGCTGAGACACTTTCAGTGCTTTACCAACCTATCTGCAAAAACAGGAGACTTGAGTAAATATACCATGAGGTAAAACCTCCAACCATACTCCACAGAATTATCCCAAATGAAGAACCAATGGCCACTCTTCAATGAATTTAAAACATCAGAAGACTACATACATATTTGGAAGCTTATATTATCTTTCCCCAATAATCAGTTTGATCTTCAAATGGTAACCTTGCCTTAGCAATGGACAGATGATTAACTTTCCACACCTGATCATATGTTACTACTTTAAATCAGTACTTGGAAAATCTAAGGATTTATGCAGCAGATATAAACAGAAATATTATATATGTGCCATCCCATTTCAATAGATTGTCTTATGTCTACAAAAACAGGAACATGTGGAATAGAAGGACACATGCTAACTCTTAACTTCTCCCCCTAACCCTTGCTTGGAAAAAATAAAATTCCAATTTTCTTTTTTTTTTCATTAAAAATAATAATTTTTGGTACCGGGGATTGAACTTAGGTCCTTGCACTTGTGAGGCAGGTGGCAGAACCGCTGAGGTAAATTCACAGCCCATTAAAATAATTTTTAAACAGACTATGTATGTCTATGTTGAATACATGCATGTGTGCTGAGGTCTTCCAGAACGGTGCTTCTTGTTTGGAGTACATTCAGATGAGGAGAAACAGGGAGGCACCTTAGCCTGGCATGGACTTTGGAGCCTGGACACACAGGAACTTCACAATCAAGCATAAAGATATAAACACCTAAAGCCCATGATGAAGACATTTCTGCCATAAATGTTACCTAACCTCCTACGATGAACCCAGCTCAGTGCTGGTAGTTTTGGTGCCATTCTTTCTCCTCTGCAGAGCGCTGTCAGAGAGAAGGCTTCCTCTGGGAACCTTTCACACTCAGGGATTCCCTTATTCCTGCACAGTGCCTGTTCTGACCTCAAGTCAGGACTGAAATGATCGTCCCTTGAACAGCTCCATGAAATGCAGCCCTTCGTGTGAGGGCAGAGTGTGCTGCCCGCCTGATGCTAAGTTTCTAAGATAGGTCCAGCGCTGCTGCTGCCAGAGAGCCCGCGGGCCTGGGGACACTGATGGGAAACCAGACTCCACTGACTGTGGCACTGTCAGGCTGAGGGGGCCTGGAAATGAGAAGCCCAGCAGCCTGAGCCTCAGGTGTGTGCAACAAAATGGATTTTATGACAAAAAAGACAGCACTGCTATCCAGCCTGTTCCAGGAAGGGTGTGGGGAGCCCCAGGGGTGCAGAGTCTCTATCCCCTGTCCAGGGTGCAGCAGAGGCCTGGCTCACAGAGGGAACAGGAAGGCCAGGGAGGGAGGAGCTGCAGGGCAGAGGTGGGAGGGGTCGGTGAAAATGGAGGGGGCGGGGCTGCTGCTGGACATTTTTACAAGGAGGAGGTGATAGTATGGGACAGTCCTCTGTGGGGTCCTCAGAAGGCCCAAGGAAGGACCTCCACATGCTGGCTGCAGTGGACTCTCTGGTGGCGGCCCTCTGGGGCTGGCTCCACCTCCGCACTCTCCTGCTGGGCGCTGTTGTCTTCCTGTTCTTTGCAGATTTCCTCAAAAGGAGGCGCCCAAAGAACTACCCTCCAGGACCCTGGAGAATACCTTTCTTGGGAAACTTCTTTTACCTGGACTTTGAAAAGACTGATCTGGCGATTAAGCGGGTAGGAGCAAGGAGGGAGGGTGGCTTTGTACTCACCCTACCCTGAACTTCAGTACAGGGGACACTTCCATGGCTCCCAGGCTGGCAACCTGCCAGAACCCTGCTTTCAGCTTCATCTTCCTTCTGCCTTGCTGGCCTCACCTGTCTGCCCTTTCTCCTGCTACAACACAGCTAAATGTTTCCTGTCTCAGTGTGTTAGTGATGTTTAGGTCATCTTGTCCTTTCTTAGTTGTTAAAAATTGAAACCGAAACAGCTTATTTGTCTGCTTTTGTTTTCTCACCTTTTAAAAAATGTGGAACTGTCCTTCCCAGAGGCTCCAGTCCAGGTACTGAAAACAGCTCTAGGGCCTCCTAAATACTCACCCTGCTCCAGGAGACTCCTCTCCCACACTTCCTGAGTCCTGGGCTCAGTCCCCTACCTGCAGCGCACTCACCAAAGTCATCCTCCAGCTCCCTTCCTCTCAGTGCCTCCCATGCACTGGGTTCTGATTCCTTCAGAAGCCACTGGAGGTCAGTTCATCAATGTCCCTGTTTTGCTACTAGGACAGGTGTGGCAGGAGAGGGTGCCTACTGCCACGAGACAGGGGTGATGAAGCAAGGCTTGAATCTTATCCCTGACTCAATGTTAGTTTTTTGATGAAAGTTTATTATTTTTATTATATATAAGCCTGATGTTTCTGTATCTGACGGTAAAACAACCTCAGATAAATGGTATAATTAGGTTACAATTGCATTATCATTTCTGCAGTGAGAAGACACTAATATCAACAGAGTGTTAGGTCTTGGATCAGGATTTTGGGCTCATTTCCATTCAGTCTCCATGGTAAACGTATATGTAAGGTTTCAGCTGGTGGTGTCCATTGTGCCCCTGAGGAACCTTGCCAACAAAAGAGTCTCATGTGATTTGCCCCGATTATTCCAGTAGATGTTGGAAAACAGAACCTTGAACTCAGCATTATTTGACTTGTAAACCCTTTCTGCATTTCCAAACTGACATTTCAGGAAGTAAGTAGACAATAATTAACTCTACATGGCACAGTTACAGGATGTTATTCATAGATGTGTCTCTTCAAAGACACTGCAAGGGCTGTCAGTGCCAGGCCCAGTACTGGACAGCGCATGACAAGACAGGTGATGGAATCTCAAACCAAGTGGGTGTCAAGAAATGGTATCACTGTCCGTGGGCAACCTTGAGGGTGATCTTCCGTACAACATTGGAAGAAATTGCCTGGATGTTAAAGGAATATTTGACAATTGGCTAAATGAAGAAAGAAAATAGGAAATTTTAACATGGGTGAAAGTTCATGTGTAATAGTAAGGTGAGAGTAAGGGTAGGAAACCAGCCAGTCTGCGTGGCAGGTGGCCAGCCTCACTGCTCTCCCACTCCCACTTTCTAAACATTTCCTACCATAGCCATGTGGCTGGTGATAGGAACACCTATTGAAACAAAAGGAAAATATCATCAGTATAAACATGCGCATGGTACAGAAGTTGTACAAATTAAGGAGTAGCTTCCTCATGGAGGTGATTGTAACCCACACCCCAATATACAAGGATGTGAAGAGCAGTGAAAGATGACTCTCACCGACAGAGTGCTCGGACACAGCGTGCAGCGCAGGATAGGGAGGCTCTGTCCACACCCCCTGCAGACTCCAGCTCCTCCTGAGTTACTGCTTCTGTCTCACACCAGCATCGTCAGGTGGGGGTCGGGTCCCACGGGAAGGGGAAATGGAAATGGCTGTGTGACGGGGAAGCTCTCTTTAGAAACGGCTCACCAAGTAAAGGGGCTCCAGGTCCTCCGCTTCACGGAGAACTGAACAGGGAGAGCCAAAATGCCGGCAACACTTATGTGAAATGGGGCTGGGGGAGAAACTAACTCTGCACAGCAACCTTGTGCTGAGGAAAAGAGAAAAGCAAGAATAAATGTGTACCCTGGGAGTGTGGGAACACAAACGACCGTGAGGAGTCGTGATACTGGGCTCCTTGTATTTTCCCATCTCTTTTATGCTGTCTACATCTCCTGGGAACCCCCAAAAAGATCTTTTATAGGGTTTTTTTTTCTTGTGGTACCAGGGATTGAATCCGGGCTTACAAGGCAGGTAGAGGAACCAATGAGCTAAATCCCTAGCTCTCTGTATAAGGTCTTGAGAGGCAGTGCTGTGTTATCCTGGGATCCCCCAAGCCTCTCTCCCCAGGCAGCCTAAGCCCCGCCCTGTCTCCTGTCTCAGGCGGTGTTGAGAAAGCAGCTTTCATAAAGCTGTGACTCCCAAGATTCACACACCACACTTCTCAGGTTTTTGCCCACACCTGGAGAGACTGGAAAGTGAGATATTTGTTGAAGTCACATGGCCAGCCGGTATGGAGGCAGCTCCATCACGCCACAGAACACAGGGAAATTTCTTCACGGTTTCCCCGAAGAAGGAGCCCTACCGCATGTGTTAGAAAGAACCCCAATTCCGGCACTAGCTGTGTGCTACCTCCTTGTGCTTGTTTCCTAAACCCAGGAGGAATACTGTGCAGCAGTGGCAGTGAGCACAGGCACAGGGACCGCACTGGGCATGCAGAAGCCCCTCGTGGAGCTCGCGAGCCAAGGCCAGCATGGCCCCAGCAGCCAAACCTGCAGATTTAATTGCAGAGTCTGCAATAAGTGGGTTGTGGGTTAAACTTGGGCACTCGACCTCTAAATGGTTCACTGTCACTGCCTTATTGGATTATTTTAAGGCTAAAATAAGTTACTGAATATGGAGTTGCTGCCAGGACCCCAGCACATAGGTGATCCTCACTTCCATTTTTCAGGCGGCTCCTTTCTTCATATCCTTCTCACAGTGTACTGCAGAAAATCAGATGTTGGCTGAATGCCAGACACCAGTTATCTGACTGGTTTCTGGGTGAGCTCTATCAGGCCATGCTGCTCGCTCTGTCTCTATCCTTCTGTTGCTCACATTACCAGAACCTTCTTTGTAAAGTGCATTCTTTGAAACATCAATAATCACAGGTTTATTCATTTTATGTTTACTAATCTTATCTGAAATATAGCAAGGAATAATAACTTCTGCTGACTGTAAATGACAATATAGAAAAGTTAAATAATTTGCCCCAAAATCGTACAGAAAGCTAGAGGCAGAACCTGGATTCTAACATGTCCTGTGACTCCAAATTCCAGGCAGTTCAGCTCACATTACAACACCTCTCCTGCTTACACAACTTCAGGCTTCTTATTGGAAAACAAAGAAAGTACAGATATTCCATGTGATGACGGGGCCTTCGGTCTCCATAGTGCTCTGAGAATCTTGCTCCCCATCTCTCTCTTTAACTGAGAGGAGACTTTTTCCACATATCTACACTCAACCTTGGTCCTGTTCTATGCTTTCTATTTTCCCTGTGTAAGACAGAAAGTTAATAATAATTATTGATTTACAGTACTGTCCCATTAGATTGTGAGCTCCTGAATGTAGGCATTTGTTGCACCCCCAGCACTGGCCTGGACCTAAGACGTGGGCAGGGCTCTTTAATGAACACTTTGCCCCAGTGAGACAGTGACTTGTTCCCAAACACGCTCCGTTTCCTGCCTTCGCACCTGCACGCGCTCCTCTCACAGTCTGCAGTGACTTGGCCTTCACTGGACAAGTCTTTTGCTGGCATCCTGACTTCATGTAGGGTCTGGGCAAAGTCCCCTTTCCCTTAAAGTGTTGTCTTATGTTTCAGTGGAAATCCATGTCTTGTGATAGCCTCGTGTCCCCACACCAGCATTCTAGCGTATGCTGTCTTCGGCTCTGCGTGCAGTGTTTCTCACGGGAAGCCTCTGTACACGGAGTTCAGTTGAGATCACTGTGCTTAGCAGGAGTGTGGGCCACAGGAGATGTGCAGAGACGTGCACAGCTGTATTCATGTGTACGTGGTTCTGTGGTATATGACACTGACTCAATTTGCAAAAGATTTTGTGACTGAAATAGTTAAGACACACACTTTACTTTTATTTACTAATTTTCTCTTTTGTCTTTAAGGAGCTAAACATGATTTTAACTAGATACACATGATTTTCACTATATAAAAATTATTTTAACTCTAAAAGTAGTAGATGCACATTTAGACAGCATTTGAGAATAGAATTTACAATTCAGCAAAGGTTGGAGAATATTATTGCACCTTCTGCACCACCACAATGCTTCTGTAGGACTTCGGTACTTATGTTTCCACATTTGCATAGAATCAACATTAAAGTAGAGTTTTAAGTTTTTCTAAATTCCACGCTCTAAAGAAATAAATGAACAACTTATACACAATGGTTTGAAATATATTAAGTTGATTTTTAAAAATAAATCCTAGAAACTGAAAATGTTAACCCTAACAAGTCTACAGAAATATCCTGAGCATTAAGATCTCACAAACACACACATGTACACACAAATGAGCACAGACTTAATTCTCTGCAAATTCAGGGCAACCAGCCCTCAGCTAGTGCTAGTGCAAGTGTAAACTGGTATACTGTTTCTGCTTTCTCTCTTCGCATCTTTATTTAGCTGGTTCTTAAGTTTTTCAATTTAAACTGTGAAATCTTTCTCCAGTTTCCTTCTGTGTCATCCTGGTTCAAGCTCTTGTCTCAGTAATCTTCACCTTCCATATTGCGTTGTTCTGATCCGTCATTTCAGTGAACTTTTTTTCAAACACTTAATGCTACAATTATAATTTTTCATTCTACTAGTAAACGTTTCTTGTTACTTTTTTCCTTTTAAACTACCATATCAATTATTTTGCTATGTCAATATTCATCATGTTTATAAGCCTGCTTTCGTACTCTGAGTTGAATTATTTTTAATCCTTTCTGCTATTTGAATGGTCTGTTTAATTATGTACTTTGAAAATTATGTCCTGCCTGAAGATGTTTTCCCAGTGCCCTCTGAGTCATTTAATCCATGTGGAGTAATTGCCAAAAAACAAAAACACAACCTAAAAACACCACCAACAACAACAATAAACACAAAATACTAGAATGAATTTGAGAATAGTTAGAATCAATCAATTCTATAACATCAGTACTGTTACATTGTTGATAATTTCGGAAAAGTTCTTCGCCCATCTGTCAAAGTACAAAACTACATGGGCAGATAACTCATAGAGATGGAATTCCGGTTGATTTCAGTGAGTGGTATTGGAGTGCTGATCTCTTGCTGAGTACAAGCTGAGATTCTAGTTTCTGTATATCATGCTAGGCATTGTTTAACAATAATACGAGATTTGCGTTGTTCCAAAAATTTCACTGTTCAATATTCCAAATTATTCAAAGAATCCTTATAAATTTCAAAAAGGTGTTCTAGGCATTCATGAAGATGACACAAATCTTTTCTTGGCATTTCTTAGAAGAAAGGTACTTCTTGGCACTGTCCTCATAGAAGCCAGAACAAGCTATGCTAGAGATGAAGAAAGCTAAACTCAGGACCCTGGGTCAAAAGAGCAGTTCAAGGTTTGAGTTCAGCTTCTGCATTTCTATCAGCACAGTGTGCTGGAGTAAAATTCAGAATATTCCATGTCAAGTTCACTTTTTGGGGGCGGGGACTAGGGATTGAACTCAGGACTTCAAGTTCACATTTTGATCCCCAATCTTACCTAATGGCTAGAAAATTGCTTCAGTCAATAGTTGTGTCACTATGTGTACCTTACTTTAGCTGCCACGCAGGTTTTTCCTGAAAAACAAACATCCTTAGTACCATAGGGCACTGAAGAGGTAAGTTTTGACCCATGCCCGACATGGCACCCGGGGAATGTGGCTGGCTGTGACAGTGACTGCTGTCCCATGGCATGTCACAGAAAGGTTCACTCCTCTCAGGCTGCATTATTACGTTGCTTCACTAAGAGGGCTGCCCTTGCTACACCAGACTCAGAATAAACACGTCTCCTCCATCTTCAGCAGGCCAGGTGTGCTGAGTGCTCTGTCTTTACTAAATTCTAGGATGTGCCAGGTTAGAGGCACTGTGCATTTTATGACAGTTGTATCCTGACGCTTCCTCTAGGGCAGGTGCTCACTCAATTCAGAGGTGGAAGGTATGAGAATATATTTAAGGAATGCTCAAATGTATTGAATTTGACTTGAGAGAGAGAAGGGAAATAGTTCAAAAACACATCCTAGGGAGCCAAGTTTTAGCCAGCTCTTCCCACAAACCATGAATCTCTTCAGACAGGCCCTTCTGACTTACTTACCCTCCATCACTGGAAGCATGAACATGGGCATATTCAACTGTGACTATTTCACTGTTTTTCAGCATGTGAAGAAATACGGAAACCTTGTTGGTCTGTATTTTGTTGACATACCTTCAGTGCTTGTAACGGGACTGCCCTTAATTAAAGAAGTCCTTACCCACACGGACCACGATTTTATGAACCGTCCCTTGCCCCCTATCCGGGAACGTGTATTTGGTAATAATGGTAAGTTTCTTGCCCACAGAAGGCAGATTTGAAATGTGCATGGTGTGACAAAAGTGCTTCTCTCTCCATTTTTCCCAAACTCCCCCAAGTCAACCACATGATGAAATTTTACCTAGGAGAATAAGCTGGGTGCTTAAGTTCCCTGATTGGAGCACCTCTTTGGAAGACTCAGAGAATCCACCTTGAAGCTCAATCCACATATCCTGCAGGACTCACTCACATGCTAGGAGAATAAAGTGACTGTATCAATCATTCACAGCAAAGGAAGAGGCAATGCGTTGTGCATTCCTTTACCCCCATTCGGAACCTCTTCCCTTAGGAAAATGGATACAATTCTGCTTCTTTCTGTTGCTGCCTCTATTTGTTTCTAGTTTATTTTTTTATTCTATATCTTTAAGTCCCTATCACACAATGTATCTAAAATGTTCTAAACCATTTTAGAACAGGTTGGCATTGACAATTAGAGTCATCATTAAGTAAGCTTAGACATTTAAAATTTGAAATTCAAACCTCAGTCTATTAAACTACAAAGCATCCTTTCTAGAAGCTTCCAATTCCTCTTTGAAATAGTTCATGAACTAATTCTACAGGCACTTACTGCTATAGAAGCCCAAGTGCTAGGAATAAATGATCAAAGAATGATAAGAGTGGATCTGATGCATGTCCTCTGTGACTGTCATGCTATCCAGAGAGAAGCACAGCATCCATGAGCTGCAATAATAAAAATCATGGCAGTCCGTGAGGCACTTCTTGGGAGAATCTAATGTAGTTCTGGAATTCAGAGAATGTGATATGAGTAGAGATTATTTATTTAATAAAATGAAAAGTACCACACAGCCAAGGAGAACATAGCATAAAGAGTCCCTGACATTAGAATAAGGACAAAATACTTGGGGAAATAAAATGTGTCCAGTGATGAGAGCTTGGAATTATAAAGGACATAATGATATGGAGTTAAAACTGCCTGGCTAGGAATAGCTTGTGCAAGTTCTTGTTAAGGGTATTGGTTTTCATGCTAAGGTCAGTGTAAACCCTTGAATGATTTTAAGTGGAGAAAAAACATCTTACATAAAACATTATTAGGACTCACTAGGATGGCACAAAAAGAATGCAGTTGAGATTGCAGCAGACTTTTGTAGATTTCAGCTCACAGAAAGTGACAACTTAGACCAGGCAGGAGGGAAGAAAGGACCATGTGTTAGGAAAAGATAGCAATGTGACTTTGCATGGATTCTAGGTAATCACCAGGGAAACCTAGTAAGATACGATGACCTTGATGTGGAGACAGTGAGTTGTTGAGGTGCTTCCCACACAGGTACTTGATGGAAAGAGGAACACTGAGAGGAGAGGAAAGTATTTCGGTAGGATTAACTTTTGTTGGGAGTAGTATGCAAAATGCAAGATTTCAGCATGGTTGTGCCAGGTTTGCAGTGCTTTAAATTGGCAAAATCAAGCAGTCAGTAGTAATGTGTACAGAGTTCTGGGAGAGACATAGATGGTGATAGGATTTCCAAAAGCAGAGTGTGGATGAGAATGGAGGAGGCTGGGAGCCTGATGGTGAAGACCTCCAGCATTTCAATATTTCACAGAAGAGAATGAGCCACCAAACAATGAAATCCTCACAGAGATATAGGGAAAAACCTGTGTGTGCTCTCTTGACAACTACTAGAAAGGAGTACTGTTCGAAGAAGAAGTGTGGAGACCTGAGGAAAGACCACTTGAGATGAAGTTGGAGAATACACTGGATTCACAGCAAAGAGGATGACTTCAACATGACGGTGAAAGTCGGACACAGGAGCCTAAAGGAGTTGAAGAATGGTCTAGAAATGAAGACATGGAAAAGAGCTTGGCATTGCCTGTGTTATGAAACAAATAACCGTTTATGGAACACAACATGGCATTCTGCATCCTTGCCTATGCTAGTCTTTCTGTGCTGAATATGCATTGCTTCTTGCTTTCTTGATTCTTTCTTCATCTACAGACAATCTTAGGTAGGACTTGCCCTGTAAATCCTTTTTGTGCCTCCTTATACCTGTGAGCTTTGGCTTATCCAAGTCTGCATTGCTGATCTCTAGCTTAACACTAATACTTTAGTAAATTTATGTGACTTCTAATCAAAGTATGAGGCTTGGATACTGGAAGACTAGAATTTGAACATCTGCTTATGAACTGTTACCTGGCAAAGTTCACTTCATCCTTTATTAACAGTTTCTTCAGTAGAATACATTGGAATTAATGCTTCCCTGTATTGTTTCCAGGAGGCCCAAATGACAAATACATAAAGATGCTAAGGTGGGAGAAGTTAGGAAATGCTATCCAGTAAATGTTAGATTTTTTATGCTCATTGCTGGGGGAGTATGGCTCTGAATAAATTTTGAGTATATTCATGCCCTTCCTCATTTGTGTCTGCTGCACATTTCCATACAATTAGCAGGCATTTGCATAGTGGTATCAGAATAGTATCTCAATGTTGACTTCCATTTCTCCAGGACTGATCATGTCCAGTGGCCACACATGGAAGGAACAAAGAAGGTTCGCCCTGACCACACTAAGGAACTTTGGTTTAGGAAAGAAGACCATAGAGGAACGCATCCAGGAAGAAGCCCACCACCTTGCTGAGGTCATAGCAGAGGAGAAAGGTGAGCATTTCACAGTTTAGGTATGGGAAGTTGATACTCATTGAGTCATTGATTAGATACCTTTTAAGAGCCTAAATGCAATCCCTATGCCCAGCACTATGCTAGGCCCTCTTTTAGCAAAGTGCACACCTTCTAAGGATGCTGTGCTCAAGAAGGACACAGTTACAAACTCAGTAAAGATGCTACCAAATTTAAACGCTGATCATCACTTTACTCACCACATCATTGAACAAGTTCTTTCCATACCTTAGATGCTGTGGCTGGAGCTTCAAATATGGTTCTGTATCACATATATAGAGCAGACTTTCTGTAAAAATATAAAGACAACCCAGTGGATTTTTGAGGGACTCATTTCTTCCTTCGTCCACCTCTAGGGCAGCCTTTCAACCCTCACTTCAAGATCAACAATGCAGTTTCCAATGTAATTTGCTCCATCATCTTTGGGGAGCGCTTTGACTACCAGGATGCTGAGTTTCAGGAGCTGCTGAGGTTACTGGACGAGGCTAATCGTTTGGAAGCATCTCTTCTGTGCCAAGTAAGCACTTCTCTTCCTGCATCTTTCTCAGGAGCATTGGGCTGAATTCAGGCGCAAATAATGTCTTCCTTTAGATTTTCTTGTGCTTAAACCAAAGGTGTAATGATTTAACATTGCATTTAACAAAAACTACTTAAAATAATCTGTGGGATTTAGTTATTATTTTCTTTATCTTTTCTTTTGATATTTTTCATTGAACCCAGCGTTTTAGGCATGGTCAGGCAAGCAATTTACCACTCAGCTGCATTTTCCAGCCCAACTTTAATTTTCTTTCTTGCTTTTTTTTCTTTTTTTTTTTGAGTTTATTGGTACATTCTAGGTATACAGTACAGTTACATTCATTATGGGATCCTGTACCTTTACATGATGGGTCTTGGTTCTCATTTTTTCCCCTTGTCCCTGCCCTCCCTTTACCACTTTCTCCCCTCCCCATTTACAGCACTTTATTTCCATTTTTTCATCTTCTCATATTTTTTTCTTTTCCCTTATTCCATTTCCCTTACCCTTCCCTCTTTCCCTACACCTTTAGCCCTTTGCTTACTATTTCACACTGTTAATTACCCCATTAGCATCTTGTGTGCTGTTATAGTTTTTCACAGCAGAGAAACTATTTGGTATTTACACATACATGACTTATTTATTTCACTTAGGAGAATATCCTCAATATGTATCCATTTTCCTATGAATTACTCTAATTTCTCATTCTTTATGGCTGAGTAATATTTCATTTTATAGAAAAACCACATCTTCTTTATCCAGTTTCCAACTGATGGGCAAATGGGCTGTTTCCAAGTTGTAGCTATTACAAACTGTGCCGCTATGAACATAGGTGCGCCTATGTCACTGTGATATGATACTTTTTATTCTTTTGGAAAGATACCCAGCAGAGCAATGGCTGGGTCAAATGGAACCTCTAGTCCCAGCTCTTTGAAGTATCTCCATATTGATTTCCATTGTGGTTGCACCAGTTTGCATCCCACCAACAATGGAGAAGGGTTCCTTTTCCGCGCAACTCCACCAACATTTGTTATTGGTTGATTTCTTGACAGCAGCCATTCTTTGTGGGGTGAGGTGGAATCTCAGTGTTGCTTTCATCTGCATCTCTCGAATGACCAGTGATGTAGAACATTTTTTCATATATTTACTTGCTACTTTTGCTTCTTTGTCTGAGAATTGTCTGTTCATTTCAGCTGCCCATTTTTGAATAGGGTGTTTATATTTGGGGAGGCTGATTGTTTTGAGTTCTTTATACATTATAGATAACAGTCCTTTGTCTGAGGAGCAGCTGGTGAAAATTTTTTCCCACATTGTAGTTCTTCCCTTCCTTCCCTTTCTTTTTTTTCCTTCCTTGCTTCCTACTGTTCTTTCTATCCTTCCTTCCATATTTTTAAGACAAAATCTTGTTAGATAACTGCGTCAGGACTTGAGCTTGCAGTGATCCTCCTTCCTCAGCCTGGGATTACAGGTGTCGATATTTACTATATAGAAAATAGTTCTATCATTCACATGAACTGCAGAATTTACATGACCAGCATCTATGTTGGAATTTTTAGTGAAACAACAATATTGTCCTTGCCTTTGAGTGCCTTCTCTCCATGTTCCACCCTACACAGTTCTTTTTTTACTCCTCAGATGAATTTTTCTAGGTGCAGTTTCACATTAAGCAGGGTTGGGTTTTTTTTAGATTATTCTGTATTTTTTAATATAAACTAACATTGCATTGTAAGAATGTGCCACCCTGGTTAATCAGCATTTTACTGGACATGTGAGCTGTTTCCAAGCACTGAATGTTATGAATCAAGCTGCCATGATCATTCCCATGCAAGTGTCCACATGGACACACCTCACTTCTCGTGCGTAGATGTGTAGATACAAAGAAAGGTAAAAATTTCTAAACTGCTGGTTCTTGCTCCTGACAAGTGTCTTTTCCTGGAGCTTCATGATTCTATCACAGAAATCTGACTGCTAGATTAGGATGACTCCTGGCAAACAGAAAGGATACAATAAAGGGAACCATTTTAGTTACAGTCAAAGTTGCTTTGTGTTCCTTGTTGTCAATGTGAGCTATGGAAGAGCCCACTCCAGCAGTTCCATGTGCTTCTCTCCTATTAAGAGAGCTTGAACATCAAGAGACTTTAGTGGGTTCCTAAGGAAAAAGAAATTCCTGGGAGGGAAATAAAAGAGGCCATAGGTTAAATCTAATAAAAATTTGTTGGAGTCCCCATCTATACCAGACATTTTGATAGGCAATACTTTTGCTCTGCCTATTTTCACATTTCATAAAAATGCAACAGAGCAACACTTGTGTAAAGTTGATATCTGAATGTGCAAGCAAATAAGACAATAGTCTTCCCCTCCTGTGTTAGGTAACGTTTGTATCTTCTGTCATGCAGTCTCCAGAGTCACAATAGCACCTCACCCAGAGATGCACCCTTTCACATGAAACTAGTTAAGGGATCAAAAAGTATATTATGATTGATCTTTTATAGTAAACGTTGGTTGGAGAATTGAAATTCCTGTAATAGCGCTGAGATGATGAGAGGAGTTCAAGTGAACCCACAGTGTAAGTGCGAGCAAATAAAAGAGGAAGAAGACTGTCATGAAAAGTGCAAAATCAGTGGCATGACTTTTCAATGATCACTTTATTTCTCTCTGCTAGATGTACAATTTCTTTCCACGGATAATGGAATTCCTCCCTGGACCTCATCAGACTCTCTTCAGAGACTGGGATGAACTGAAGTCATTTGTTTCTCGTGTAATTGAAAATCACAAGAGAGACTGGAATCCTGATGAGCCAAAGGACTTTATTGACGCTTACCTCAAGGAAATGGCACAGGTGAGGAGAGCAAACTTGGTTTCCATGTTGTGTTTTTAAAGAATCAAGAGCAGCATGTTAGTATCAAAATGCAGCTCTGACAAGCATCTGCACCTGTGTATTAAAATAGCTCAGATCTCTCTTAAGTTCTACATGATGGAATTAGAAGATCAGATTCCCTTTGGCAAAGTCAAAGTGTTGGTCAGGCCAGCTTCTCTGGAGGTTTGAAGGCTCCACTTCCAGGACTGTTCCACCTCCTGGAGGCCAACCGCATTCCCCATTTTGTGGCCCAGTCCTGGATCTTTAGCATCAGGAGTGTAGCATCCTCTCTCCTCTCTGAGCCGTAGTTCTGTCCACACATCACCTCTCTCTGAGCCTGACAATCTGGTCTTTCTCATGTAAGGATTATTCAGGATAATCTTTCCATCTCAAAAGGCTTAAATTAATCATGTCTGCAAAGTCCTTTTGGCTTATAATCACACAAAAAATTGGGGCAAGGACATCCTGTAGATCAGTATTTAGCCCACCACAGGAGCAGACATAGAGGCAGTGTTTTGTATGTGTAGGTCATCATGAACTCAGGAGGCTGGAACCATCAGAAATAAAAATAAGTGTCTGATGCTATTTGACTTAAGACCCTGAGAATGGCCAAATAAATTGCCTTCTCCTCCTCTATTCCAGTTGTGAGGAGCACATAGCACGCAAGAAGCAATTGGCTGTTTGTTATCCTTGAAAACTGAAAGATTTATCATCACTGTAGTTCTCCTCTGTACCCACATGTGAAGGATTCGTACACAAGGGGAAAATAGCAGTTTAGCTTCAGAAGTCCATTTCCTTATTGCTTGGAAATAAACCTTGTTCCATGCCCCTTCTCTCAGCCCCCACTGCAGAATACAGGTAAAGCTGAGTTGGAAGCCAGAGTGTAACCTAAAGGTTGGAATGGGGCCACTCTGCTATTATACCTCCCCATATCACAAATTTACCAACATTACAGGTGAGAAGCAGTAAAAAGCCAAACTGAATACATGGCCTTGAGCACAGCAAGCCTGTGTAGATGTCAGTGAAGCAGTGTCATAAACTTGGTCTCCTCGGATGACAGAATTCTCCTCCAGGAGTGGGTAGAATGGGAATTTGTTTCCATTTTCCCTCCAAGCTTTGGTTTCCGCTTAGAGGAGGAGTCTTTACCTATCCCTTAGTATACAGCACATTAAGAAAACTTTGAAAAAGTGAACTTCCTAAAGCAAAGGGAAAAAATGACAGGCAATCATGTAGAATTATTAAAGAAATAAGAAAGGTTTAAACTGGCAGAGTAATAGGGAGTTAGGAGCATATTTGGACATAGAAGAATCCAGCTTATTTTTTGTGCTATCAACACAAATATTTATTAGCTGCAGGACTTTTGTATCTCAGAAGAGTCATGATGTCATTTTAGGGGGTGGGTAGTGCGTCCACTTTAAAGCAGGAGACAGAAGGACTGCAATGTTAAGGGACGTGTCCTAGGTCAAGCGTCAAATAAGTGATAGAGCTCATGCGGAAAGCCCACCTGATCAATCACATCTCATATTTCTCACTGTGTTCCTAGCCTGCAAAATTACAGTTACAAGAACTGGTTATCCTGCTTTTCTTTTTAAATTTTTATTAGTATGTTTCCTATGCATAATGCTTGCATTCCTTGTGGGCAGTTGGTAGAGGTGTGCAAGGCCTCTTAATTCCTTTCTCATCCCCTATTTCTTCCCTGCCTCCTACCTCCCTCCATCTCTTGATCACTTTCCTATTTGAGAACCGTCTACCTCCAGACTTCCTACTATTTCTCTTTGATTTTGCGCTCTATTTATATTTTGAGTTTCTCATATAAAAAACCATGCAGTATTTAAATTTTGTGTTTGACTTATTTCACTTAGCCATACGGTCTTCTGGCACATACGTTTCCCTTTGAATGAACCAAGTTTATCTTTCTTGATGGTAAAGTAGTTTTCCATGGAGAGTAAATACACATTTCTTCATCCATTCATCTGTTGATGGACATAGAGGCTGCTTCCAAGACTTAGCTATTATGAGTTGTGCTGCTACCAACAAGGGTGTGCATGGAATGGATCACTGTAACATGATGTCTTCAACTGTTTTTTAGGAAAATATATGGAAGGGGAATAGCTGAGAAAAATGGAATTTCTAGTTTTAGGTTTTTGAGGAATTTCCATACTTATTTCCACCATGGTTAATCTAGTTTATATTCCCACCAATAATGTGGAATTGTTTCTTTTTTCCCTCAGCATCATCAACGTTTGTTGTTATTTGATTTTTTTTTTTGATGATAAGATAGAATCCTAGTGTTTTTTTCTATTTGCATTTCCCTGGTGGCCAACAAAGTTTGTGCATATTTCACAATTCATTGGCCATTTGTAGTTCTTCCTTGAGAGATACATTTCACTTGCCCATTTTTTATTCCATCTACTTTTTTCCCTTGAGTCTTTTATTATGAAGGACCAAAGTGGTTTGAGTTCTGCATTCTAGATATGAGCTCTGTACTTGAGGAATATTTTTTTCCATTCTGTAGGTTGCCACTTTGTTCTGTTGGTTGGTTGTTTCACTGTGCAGGGCTTTATTATATAATATGGTACCATTTGTCAATTATCGGTACCATTTCCTCTGCACCACCCCTGTGTTCAGAAAGTTCTTGACCACAGCTTCTAGAATTTCACTGACTTTGTCCTCCAGGAGTTTCACCTTTTTTGTTTCAACATTTGGTTCCTTGATGCGCTTTTGCTGTAGCTTAGAACGTGGTGAGAGATGTGGGTGTAGAGTCTATGCTCTGCTTGTGGATAGGCAGTTTCCTGACACCATTTATCACAGAGGTTTTCTTTTCTCCAGTGCAATTGTTGGACATGTCATCAAAGACCAAAGGATTGAATGTGCTTGGAATTGCTTTTGCATCCTCTGTTCTGTTCCACTGATCCTCATGTATGTCTTTGTGCCCATACCATGCTGGTTTTATCACAGTAGCTTTGAAATACAAATTCAAGTGAGTTTTTTTTTTTTCAGCTTTAATTGAGTTCATTGGTACATTTTAGGAATGCACTACAGTTACATTCATTGTTGGGATCTTGTACCTCCACATGATAAGTCTTGATTCTCATTTTTTCCCCTTACCCCTGCCCTCCCTTCACCCTCTCCTCCCCTCCCCATCACAAATACTTTATTTCCATCTTTTCATTATCTCACATTTTTTTCTTTTCCCTTATTACCCTTCTCAGAGGGGTTTTGAGGCCTCCCACTCTGCTTTTTTTGTCCAGAATCAGTTTTGCTCAATTTCTTCCGTTTCCATATGAATGTTAGCATTGTTCTCCCATTTCCTTGAAGAATGGTGTTGGTATTTTGATTGGGATGGTATTATATCTATCAATTTTAGAAATATAGATATTTTGATTTTATGGGTTCTGCCTATCCAGGAACATCAGTTTTCCAACATCCACTGGGACTTCCCTTTTCAGAGTACTATAGTTTTCATTGTACAGGTTAATTCCTAGGTACTTAATTATTTTCAATGCTATTGTGAATGGTATTGTTTATCCTAGCTTTTTTCAGTGGATTTATTACAGCTGTAGAATAAAGCTATTGATTTTTCTGTATTAATTTTTTATCCTCTTATACTGTTGAATTTGGTTATTAGCTAGCAGTCTTTCTAGCTTTTTTCAGTGGATTTATTACAGCTGTAGAATAAAGCTATTGATTTTTCTGTATTAATTTTTTATCCTCTTATACTGTTGAATTTGGTTATTAGTTCTAGCAGTCTTTTCCTGGAAACTTTGAGTCTCTATGTAGAGAATCCTGTCATCTGCAAATAATGATAATACTCCTTCTTCCTTTCCTATACATATTTCTTTATTTTTCTTGCATAATTCCTTTTTCTAATATTTTGAATGCCAAGTTAAACTGGACTGGTGGTAGTGGAAAAACTTCTTTTGTTCTTGATTTTAGAGGGAAAGCTTTCAGTTTTCCCCCATTAATATGATGTTAACAGTAGATTATTTCAAAATGGCATTTATTTGTCAGATATAAGGTTTATCTATACATATTTTGTTTCATGTTCATAATATGAAAAGCTGTTGGAATTATTTTCCACAGACTTTTTTTCTGCATCTGTTGATATGATCATGTGATTTTTGTTTTTGCTTGTGTTTATGTGATGTGTTTCTTTTTTTTTTTTTTGTATATGTTGAACCATCCTTACATCTCTAAAGCGTACTTGGTCATACTGCATAATGTTTTGTGGCATTCTGTTTGCCAGTATCTTTTTAAGGCTTTTTGAATTTATATTCATTAAAGAGATGAGTGCATGGTTCTCCACATTTGACCTTAGCCAAAAGGCTGAGAAGGTGTAGTCCGTAACTCTCTCTGTTGATTGAATCCTTGTCTAGTTTTGGAATCAGGGCAATGCCAAGCTTCCAGAAATGACTGTGGGAGTACTCCTTTGCTTTTGATTTCATTGAAGAGTTTCAGCAGTCTTGGTGTCAGATCTACTCTGAAGCTGTTGCAAAATTCAGCAATTCATCCACTTGGACCTGGGCTTTTCTTAGTTAGTAGATATTTATTAGTGCTTCAATTTCGCTGCCTCTTATTGGATGATTCAAAGTATTTAAATGTTTTTGGTTCTGTTCAGTAATTCTATGTATCTAAGGATCTGTTCATTTCTTCGGAGTTCAACTGATTGTCATACAGGTCTGTAAAGTAGTTCTTAGTAATCTTGATTTAGGTGGCGTCCATTGTGATTTCCAATTTTTCATATCTAATTACTTTGATATGGATTTTTCTCTCCTTTTTTTGCTTAGATGGGCGAAAGGTTTGTCTTTTTTATTGTTTTGAAAAACTAACTCTTCCTTTTTTTTCATTGAGTTTATTGGTACAATCTAGGTATACAATACAGTTACATTCATCATTGGGATTCTGTACCTTTACATAATAGGTCTTGATTCTCATTTTTTCCCCTTGTCCCTCCCCTCGCTTCACCCCCACCTCCCCTCCCC